CCAGAGTGCCGCGTTCAACGGGGCTCTCCACCAACAATCTCGGGGATAGTCTTCACAATTGCCTCGCTGGTCGCTAAGCAAATGTTGGGATAATTTCCTTTCCGATAACCTTGCACTCGTGGCCACTGCCGATGGCACAAAGAGGCAGGCATTTGCAAGAGCGCCGTTCTCTGGTTCGACCGATAGTTGTGGCGCTAGGCCCAGTTGGCTCTGGTGCGGAAACGCTGCCCGTTGCAGATGGAACTCCAAGAACCAAAGAGGAGCAACAGACATTGGCACCCCCTTAAATCACCATGTCGCTTGTCACGCCTCCAAGCATCCCCTGGCCTGTCTTGGCTCTGCCGCTCCGCTTCGCCCGCGTTAGATGAAGGCCCTCTCCTATCATTGCTCGAGCTGCCAGCAACTCAATTCGATTGTCTGTGCTTCGGCTGCTTCCAATGCCCATCTGAGCGCGAGCGCCATCCAATGCCACACCCGCCATATGGCCCATATCCACTCTCCTTTTTAACTCAATTTTGGACTGAACCCCCACCATCGCCATTCCTTGACATTCCTGCCATTCCCACGAGAGGACTCTCATTCCGCTCTTTCATTCCTGTCCTAACCATCTGCTCGGCACTTCGTCTGTGACTTTGTGTGTTGTGTTTCTCAGCACTCTTTTGTTGCCGAGAACAGACGCGGGCACTTACACTCTCTACTCCAACTCACTCTCGTCACTCCTTGACCTTTCTACGCCTCGCCACACGCGCCGAGTCCTGAGAGTTTCCCTTCTCGCGATACTAGACGTATTGCTTTCGCCTTCGACTGGACCATTACCGAATTCCACGACAGACTTTTCTCACTCACCTGACCCTTCATTGACTCAGGTTTCAAACTTCTCCAACTACACCGGCTTCCTACACGCCTGCGGCTTCTTATCAACATGCTGTCGCAATACACTCTCTCAGCGGTGGCGCTGTTGGCGTCGCTCGCCCAGCCAGCCATTGCCCAGGTTTCGACCAAATGCAACCCGATGAATACCACTTGTCCTGCCGACCCGGCCTTTGGTATGGATTACACTTTCAACTTCAACGCCACTCCGTCGACCGATGCTTGGGAGACCACCGTTCGTCCCGTCACATACACCGCAGACAACGGCGCCGAGTTCACCATCAGCAAGCAGGGTGACTCCCCCACCATTCGCACAAAGTTTTACTTCTTCTTCGGCCGCACCGAGATCCACATGAGGGCAGCTACGGGCAAGGGTATTGTGAGCTCTATGATGTGGCTTAGCGACACCTTGGACGAGGTCGACTGGGAATTCCTCGGTGTCAAGAACGATGCCTTGAGCAACTTCTTCGGCAAGGGCGTGGAAGACTTCAAGAATGGCGCCACGCATGCGGTTTCCGGTAGCATTCACGACGACTTCCACAACTACACCACTGTTTGGACCAAGGATCAACTCGAATGGTGGGTGGATGGCAGCCAGGTGCGAGTGCTGAAGGCTACGGACGCCAACAACACCGCTGCCTACCCTCAGACCCCTATGCGACTCAGTCTAGGTATCTGGGCCGGTGGCGATCCGCGCATGGCTGCTGGCACCAGAGAGTGGGCTGGAGGCGACACCGACTACGCCGCGGGACCTTACACGATGTATGTCAAGTCAGCGCAGGTTACCGATTACAGCTCTGGCAAGGAGTATTCGTTCGGCGACAAGACCGGCTCGTGGGAGAGCATCAAGATCACTGAGTGAGTCCCGATTCGGCTTCGTGTCCAAAGAACAGTCTGGCTAACCCAACCACAGCGGCAACTCTACCGTCAAGGAGGCCCTGCTCGCGGAACCTAGCAAGTCTGTTAGCGAGAAGTTCGATTCTCTCAACCCCACCGCCAAGACTGCCGTCTACGCATCTGGTGTTGGTGTTGGCTGCGCTCTCATTGCCTTTGGTCTGTGGTACTTCATCCGCCAGCGCAAGCGTGGCGCTGCTGAGGCTCGCATGCGTGAGGCCAAGGCTGAGGAGGAGCGTCTCGAGATGGAGCGTTTCCAGAAGAGCGGCATCGACCCTGACTCCTTCAACGGCTCCACGGGCACCGAGTACAATGCCAGAGACTTCAGCAAGAACGGAATGGTGCAAGAGACCTCTTACAGCGTTCCTGCGACCCAGGAGAAGGCTGTTTGGGATGCCGCCCCTGCGGCCGCTGCTGGAGCCGGTGCCGTTGGTGCCGCCGGTGGTATGCGCGCTTACAGTGATTCCCGTACGGGTACGCCTGTCCTGCCTCCGTTGAGAACCCAGAGTCCTAGCGTGCCGCCCTCCGGTCCTCTGCCGATGGCGCCGAGCCGTAGCACTTCCCACGGCGGCTACTCAAGACTCGGCTCTCCCGATCAACACAGCCCCCCGCCTATGAGCCCTCCTCACGGCGGCTACAGCGACAATGCTTTCGGTAACCAGCAAGGTGGCTTCGGAAACAACGGGTATGGAGGCGGAAACCAGGGCTACCAGGGCGGCTTCAGGTGATACCGAATGATTTCCTGACTTGATGAGCGTATTCATTTCTTTCACCGGCCATCCTATGGCTATTTCCCACCATATTCATTTCCTACTTTGCATGAAATTTTGAGCGATTTCCTATTCCCCGCTTCGAGCGAACGACATGAAAGGAGAAAAGGAGACTCCCGTTCTTGATGGACGTGGTGTGCTCTGTACAATACCGGTGCCAAGATATCCTGTCGATTCTGTCCTGCTTTTAGGACTGTTAACGAAATCAATAAACGATGACCTTGTTCAATTTGCGCTCTGTGCGATGCCCTTCTTGTATCTGACTGTAAGTGGCGTGGAGAGACATTGCCGGTTTCGGGGAACGTTGCCGGCCGTCAATGCGATTATGCGCAAAACTGTCCGCCAGCTGCTTCGCATCATGAGGCAACCCGACAGGCTGTAATGGCAGTGGCGATGCTTGAACCCGAGACCAGACACCAATGCGCCTTTGATGCATTTATTGCAAGACCTCTAGCATGAACATGCAATATGCTTATTTACCCTTTGGGCCAACTTTATTTGCACATTGAACTATTCCTGTTCGGTGGCATCGGAACGAAACGATATGACACGGAACACCGTCCGATCAGGTGGCAAGGCACCCCCTCATGCATCCCACGTGGAGCAAGTGAACTGGTTGCACAGCACCGCACATTCATCGGAGCCATGCGTGCCACATAGTGGTGTAGTTCGTGCCGGTAGCTGAGAGGAGGTATCGAACGCATTGCTCGCCCCGAGGTTTCCAGGCGGTGTCCAAGCACACGCCTATCATGCTAATTGGGCAACAATTCCGAGTGTTCACTCCGTTGGAGACACCACTCCCGTTGTCTTGGGATGGGATTTATTGGGGAAGATGGCAGACCTCAAGTGCGGGGAGCTGGCGGTTCGGTGCCATCAAGCTATGTATGCCAAGTGATCTGAGCCATGTCCCAAAGTCCTTGAATGCATTCGCAGCAGGCTTGCTGACCGGCAAACAATGACTCTGAAAGACGTGTTCTTTCAAACTCCAGCGACAGCAGCCGCTATTGATGCCTCGACGGTCAGCGAAGGCTGGATCAAGCTGTGCCAAGCCATGCATATCCGCGTGCTCCATGATCAACAAATTGCTGCCTCACAGAGCGTATAGAGGAACCCGGCGCCGGTAGATAATTCGTCGAGTCTAATTGTCCGCGGATCTCAAGGTTTAGGAGGCAAAGTATGCGGTCCCTTCGGATGTGAATCGCCACGGCCCATCAATCTGATATCATCCACGGGAACGTAAACACGTCCTTCCGCGCCGAACCTACCGCCAGTCGAACCTAGCTAACCTTTCCAGTGCGACTTATTCGGCCAATGAAACCGAGAATTGACGCAGGTAGCAATGCACATATGCCAACAGCTCAGCCGGGCTAGAATCGAGATCATATGCACCAGTTTACTGGTATCAAGCTTCCGGTTGTTGACGTTGCTCCGTTCATCAGGGCCATGGTGAATTCTTCTACCACATCCATGTGTTGAACAGCTGAAGGGTGAAGATCGTGCCACGTGCGGCTTTCACAAAGTTAAGTGGGCAGAAATCGAAGAACGATGCCGAAAGGAATGCAGAGTCGCCATGCTACTTTCGATAAGCCGAAACCGCATTACTGCAACTCCTCATCCGGATGCACAGCATGTCGCCAAGACATTGGTTCCATAACTACAATTTCAAAATAGGTAACCAACGAGTTCAGTCCAGTGTGGAAGAGCGGTCTCGCATTCATTTGACTCTGAAGGTTTGAATGGACTTGAGTGAGTTGCATGCAATTCTCCCCCTGTTACACCAATCGTTCGTCAATTTAGAGTTGAACAGCACACCACCTTTTTGATACCAGGCAACCCTTTCAACTGTGATACTTTGGTTAAGCTGCCCACCATCAATGGAAAGCCTCTGCTAACATCATCGAAAAACAAGCATACCACTATTCGACATCAATTTCGCTTTCCGTCCGACATTTCGCATGGTAAGGGCGGTTCCATCGCCAACCCAAGGATCTCCACCGGATCCTGCTTGACAGCTACCAGTTCCGCAATCCCTACCTTAACCCCAGAACATGTCGTCTGATTCTGAAGATGCAGGATGAAAGCTGTCGGGGGAGCACCGAGGAAGACGACAGTCTTCGTGATTAGGGAGAGCTTCAGGGGAAATGGCCGGCGGATGCCTCGGGAAAGCTGACATCCTTGAGCTCTGGTAGGCTCAGCAACCTTCAGGCATGTCGTCGACCACTGTCAGGCAGTCACGGGAGTGGGCGAAATCCAGGTCAATCTTCTTCGGCAGACGAATGCGTCGTGAGAAGAGCTTGAGGTCGATGGGATCCTGACCTATAAAGATCCAGGTCTTTACCCTCCTATCCCACTCCTTTTGCCTCTCATCATCACACAGCCTCGCAAGCAATCCTTTCAACCAGCTAATTATACCCCAATACCCACCTCTGTCTCCGGCAGTAATTCGTGCTTCTTACAATCGTCAAGATGCTCTACTCTACCTTATTCGTCGCTGCACTCGCGGCCATTTCTTCGGTCGCCGCCCTGCCGGCTGACGCCGCCGACGCTCGTGACCGCGACCGCGATCGTGACGACATTTTCCGTCGTGGCGAGTGTCGCGACGAGCGTGATGAGCTCTACTGCGGTAGAGGCATCAGCGAGTACTCCCGCTATGGTACATAACCCTCATCATAAAGGGTCACAGGCTGTGCTAACAACATCTTCTAGACGAGGGCAGCCGCTACTGCCGCAGAGATCGAGTCAACAGGATCTTCTGCGCCTATCGCGAGCAGCGCGAGTTCGCTCGCCAGATCGCCGAGGAGTGGCGTCGCATTGAGGAGTGCGAGCTCGACGAGTACTGGGACATCGGCAGACGCCGCTGCGAGTGCTACCGCAGACGCGATGTGAGTGAAGCATGAAGTCTCCACACAGCCGAAGATGTTACTTACAAACTTCAAACAGAGGGATGGAGACAGAGACAGAGAGTGCAGACGCCGCCGCGGTGAGAGCGATCGCGACCGTGATGGAGACCGTGACCGCGACCGTGGTGACCGTGATGGCGACCGTGACCGTGACGGAGATCGCGACCGCGACCGTGGCCGTGAGCGCGATGCTCCTAACTGCAAGGGCCGTGACATTGCTTTCTGTGCCGCCAGTGAAGCGCAGATCGTTACCTTTGGTGAGTTTGATCGGAGATTCTTACGCGATATATCTAACTCTTGAGCAGAGCGCACGAACATTCTCTGCACCCGTGGCAATGGCAATTACGTCTTCTGTGCCAGCCCTGAGCCCGGCCGCGCCCGCGAGAAGGCCAGGGATCACTTCCGCGACAACAGGAAGGCTGCGGTTGAGCCTGTCAAGGCACCTGCTGCCCAGGCTCCCGCCCAGGCTCCCGCTAAGGCTGCATGAGTCGCGATATTTGTTGCCGCTATTAATTTCGAGATTGAGTGGCAGCAACATCGACATGGCACGCGAAATCAATAGTACAAGGGGTAATGGATAGTTGGAGAGTTTTGCCATTTGTGTGATTTAACTTGAAGTGGAGGACTGGGGAAGATTGATACATTTAGTGAACCAACGTAATTTGCGACTTTAAATATCACTCTCTTACATCTAATATGTATCGTTGAGACAGAATGAATCTGAGTGTAAAACTTGAAAATTTGACCTGGCTCTTGGGCAAGGTTGGCTTCGATATTTTCAGTTGCCGCATTCGCAGCGAAGCGAGAAGTTCGAAAATTCATCACGACTGGCATTCTATAAAAACAAGAAATACAACCAAACTTCTTGGCCTAAAATCTACAGTATTTGATTAGGCTCAGGGAAACAACAAATGACACTTTGAGAAGAACGAGAGCCTATGGAGTATCCAATTCTCCCATTTAGGGCGGAGCTGCCTGAAGTCAGTTAAATGTGCAGCACTCTAGTATTCTTCGAACCTGAAAAAAATGCTAATTAATCGCGAGAAGCTCGGGGGTGAAGATAATCTTGGCTACATTATACTCCAGCCGCTCATGCTTAATTAGAAGTCGGTTGACATGAGAGGCAGTTTCAACTTGCACAAGACTTACACGCGAAAACTCGTCTCGGCCTTCCTTCCCAGTAATCGGCTCGAGCTTCCCTCCCAGTTTTGTGTGGACAAGGGGCCATGCGGGGTAAGAATAACCGACACCTCAGGCGCGAGAACTTCACACAAACACGGCAAAAACATGAACGCAAATACGGCAGGAGACAGGCGAATACTTTCTTTTCTCAATTGTGGTCACTGCGAGAAGAGTCACAGGATATCCCCGCTTGGGGTTGGAGCCGACGTTGCCCACACAGTCAAGCCCCCGGCATGTCCAAGCCATTGCCCCGGAGCAGTGGTGGCTGCTGGACGTGCCGCATCCGCCACAGAAAGTGTGATGAGTCTTTACCAGAATGTAAAGAATGCACTGATCGGCATATCACATGTCATGGGTACGGGCCTGAGCCAGAATGGGCAAAAGATCCAGCTAGTCTTCGGGAAGAATTACAGCGCATCAAACATGCTGTGAAACAGAACTTCCGTCAAACCCGAAAGTTGCAGGCTGCACGTAGCCCACAGAGGGCCTCAACATCGTCTCTCACCGGGCTCGATGACCCTAGTTCATCATCTTCTTCAAAAGACTCTGAGTTTAGAGAAGCAGAACTTCTCATGCATTATCTCGATTACATATTTCCGATCCAGTATGCCTATTATGTCGACAAGCCAGCAACGGGAGGAAGAGGGTGGCTCTTTTGGCTCCTGTCGAAACAAGGGCCCTTGAGGCAAGCTGCTTTTACACTATCTGCGCTCCACCAGCACAGCACCTCAGAGAACAAGACAGAAGAAATGGAGTCGGAGCTTATCCGCTACCATACGAACGCCATGCAGGAACTCCGTCAAGTACTGATTCATGGAGAAACGGATGGCTTCGCAAGTCATCCCGAGCAAAGAGTTGAGTTCCTCACTTGCGGAACCTTTCTCATCAGCTTCGAAGTACTCACATCCATGAACCCTTTCTAATCACGTTTTCGATTGCTGACCAATGCAGATTTTTCAAGGAGGAACATCCAAGTGGGAGCCACACCTTAATGCTCTAGTGTCAGTGGCTAGTCAAATTCGTCCGAACGACGATGGCTCTCTCTCTTTTCAGTCCCCTAAACTCGAACCAGGCTTGCAGAGAATGGTCGATGCTGCCATGAGGTTCCACATGGCACAGCTGTTGTGGTTCGAGATGGTGGCTTGTGTCGCAACTGGCAAAGCTCCCAAGCTGCCATATCAAACCTGGCTAGCACTAGATGACCTGGATATGTCGTGTGTCATGGGCTGTCAAAATTGGGCTATGCTTGCTCTTGGCGACGTTGCACTATTAGAAACTCAGCTAGCGGAAATGAGCTCTAGTCTGGCGAGGAGGCGATCGTATGATTTGAGGCAGAGACTGCGTGCAGGGATAGATGGTTTACGAAACACAAACGATGAGGTTCGCAAGCCCCTGAGGATACCACTGAAAAGCACTGACAAGTCCCAGGCTTCGGCGCCGATGATATGTCAAGCAGTAACCCGTGTCTATGCAACAGCTACCCTTTCACAACTGCGGGCCTTCACGGCAATTGATTTTGAATATCACGAAGAGGTGCACGAGGCCGTGGCGGAGGTAATTAGTGCGTTAGAGGAGATGCCAAAGGGGGCATCTCTCAGAGGCTTGACATGGCCAATGTGCGTCGCTGGTGCAATAGCTCGACAAGATCAACAAGACTTCTTCGAGAGGATACTTACAGCTAATCTCGAAACGTCGGGTACCAGCTTCACGAATTTTGGAACGGTGCTTCTGATTCTAAGAGAAAGCTGGGAACACCGAGACGACTTTGGCAACGACAGGAATGCGACTAGAAGTGCGATGAGAAGGTTGGGAATCAGTGCACTTTTAGTTTGAAACGGAGCTATCCTTCTTTGTTACTTTTACAATTCGTGTTTGGTGGTTTAGACGCACTAGATACCAACTCAAGATTTCCACGTCCAGGCTTCGTCAAGAAGACTAGGCGTCCACCGGCACCGGACATTAGATTTACGCCCAATTTCATCAGATGAAGAAGGTAATCGAAGTTCATTGTCTCAGTCGACCCAGCTATCTCGTACCACACATTCATTCTTGATACTCAGCCCGTTAAGCCCGCCCTCATTCCCAATCACACATGCTTCACAACGCCATTCCAATCATTCAGCCTTTCACCTTGCCAATTTCCCGCGAAACAAACTTTTCCACACGCAAGTCCCGTTCCTTCATTCGTCAATGATTTGAACCTTCAATGCCAATGCACTGGGATCCGAAGCAGTCTTGAACGCCTTTTCTCCCTCCTCAAGAGTATAGCGGTGCGTGACTAGGGGCTTCAAGTCAATGACACCCTCAGATACAAGACCGATGGCTCTTGGGTAGATATCGCGGTAACGGAACTGAAAACGCAAGTCGATCTCCTTTCCAGCCATGTACATAAAGGGGATCGTGGCGAAGTCCTTCCCACAACCGATGACAAAAACCATGCCACCAAAACGGCACGCCTGAAATGTCAGCGTATATGAAAGCCAAAAGATATGACAAAACTCACATAAATGCCGGTGATTACGCTGGATTCCACACCAGTGCACTCCAACACCAACTTCGCCTCTTGACCAAGTGCAGCCTTCACATCTTCAGCTGCGGCTTGTGGATCCTTTCCTGGAGCAACAAGCACAGTCCGCACTCTCGGGATAGCCTTCTTAGCAATTTGCAGTCTGCTTTCATTGATATCTGTGATGACGATGGGGTTGGCACCAGCTGCGCTGGCAGCCATCAGGGTGACAATGCCAATGGGTCCAGCACCGCAGATGACGACCGGGTCTCCCAAACGAACACCAGACCGTTCAATGCCCGTTAAAGCCACAGAAAGAGGCTCGAGAAGAGATCCTTCTTCGTAAGAAATTGTCTCAGGGATCTTGTGCAGCCAGTCTTCCGGGTGCACATGATACCGTGTCAGAGTTCCGTGATACGGCGGTGTTGAGTAGAAGACAACGTCAGGACAAGCGTTGTATCTTCCAGTCCGGCAGAAGAAGCAAGATGCCTTCATGCATGGAATACCGCATTCCAAGGCTACTCTGTCACCGACCTTGAACTTGGTAGTGTTGGGACCAACTGCAACAACAACACCCGCACTTTCGTGTCCAAGGCCATTCTCACCAGTGACCACCATTTCACCAATGTGACCTGCCTTCCAGAAATGGACATCAGAGCCGCAGATACCAGTTGCGCGCACATGTACTAGACATTCTCCATCGCCCGGGGTGGGAATATCGATCTTCTTCAGGTAAAGTTCATGGCTGGGATTGGTGTAGACAGCAAAGTTCTCGGGTTTCCGGCGAAGAATGTCCGCGGCAGATGCGTCGCTTGCCATTTTGTACTGGTAAATATGAAGTTGAAGAAGGACTGTGGTTAGGGGAGGCCTAACTTCTCCCAGAAAGTAGGCGACAAGAATAACGGCAAGGCAAAGACAAGATCAGAAACCTATAGCTGGGCCCCATGTGTTTTATCAAGACCTTGCCTTCGGAGGAGGGGCCGCCTTTCTTGAGTCACTCACGCGTATTCTCGTGACAGAACCCCGGAGATCTTTACCCCTCATGCCCCCCTCCAAACAGCAACACATTCAACCTCAACAGTGTGGCTCTGACAATATGCCTGCGCCAGTGACGCCACGGGCTCGGTGAAATCGCCGTTACCCCACAGTCGGCGCACTGGCGCTCGGCGGTTTCTCCGTGACGTACCACCTCGGTGGTTTCCCCGCCTGATGGCAGACTCCGCGCGGCGAAGGCTTGCCCCGGGATAAATCTTACATCGACTATGGCAAGATCTTTCCCGGAATACACAAGCCAAGAACGACATTTGAGAAGCTTAATCCTCGGCATAAATCATTGAATTCTCTGAAGCGATCATTTTTCTTCCTTGAACGTCCTCCAACTCGTTCCAAACAACTTCAAATTTGAAACACCTAATCATGTCTCTCAAAGGGAAAGTTGCCATTGTGACGGGCGCAGCTCGAGGAATCGGTGCGGGCATTGTGCGGGCCCTTGCCAAAGAAGGTGCAAGTGTATGTATATCCCCTGTTCAATTGGTAGCAAATTCATCTCGGTGAACTCTGGGGTACGCACAGTGCCCCGCTGGACCATCGATTCTCCTAAACCGAAAAAGCTATCCCGTTTGCTGATTTTTCCGTATGTGCAGGTCGCCTTCAATTATGTCTCTCCGTCATCTGAGTCAGCTGCTGTCAGTCTGGTCGAGGAAGTGAAGAGTTTAGGCTCCCGCGCAGTATGCGTGAGGGTTGACATGGCTTCTTTGGATGCACCGAAAGAACTGCTTGATGCCACTTTGGAAGAATTCCAGACGGATAAGATCGATATATTGATCAACAACGCGGGTCTGGGTGGAAATGCACCTCTTGAAGAAGTCACTGTTGAGGACTATGACCGTCTGATGACCGTCAACGTCAGGGCTGTCATCTTCATGACACAAGCTGTTTTGCCACACATAAACCGCGGAGGACGCATTGTCAATCTTTCGTCGATTTCCTCCAGGGGAGGCTACAGCACACAGTCAGTGTATGCTGCGTCGAAGGCGGCCGTTGAAGGATTGACTCGTGTCTGGGCCACAGAGCTAGGCCACAAATATGGAGTTACTGTCAACTGTGTGAACCCGGGTCCTGTTGATACAGATATGTACCGCGCAGCAGGACCTGTTCATCTCGCTCGAATGGAAGAGCAGAATAAGAAAGTTCCAGCAGAGCCTCGCTGCGGCACCGAACAGGATATCGCGGACATAGTTGTTTTCTTATGCGAGGAGAGATCAAGATGGGTCACTGGTGACACTATTTGCGCGAATGGCGGCATGTTGTATTTGTAAATAGCTAGCAATATGTGGGTTTCGCTTGACTGGTGAAAATCAAGATGAAAAACGAACATGTTCAGCTGACGGCCACGAAGAAGCAGTCATAGGGGAGAAGCAAACTCTGCTCGCCCTTCTTTCGCCTCTGGTTATACTTGAGCGCTAATGTTGATACGCGGGCTAATCATAGACCAATGGCTATGACCGGCCATAGTAGTCACGTAATTACTTTGACGCCGTCGAACCCCACTAGAAAAGCTTCTCTCACTCGCTGAAAAGACCTGAGGATTACCCCTCATCAGCCACAGCTTACCCTTTTCCCTGGACATCTTGAGATCGTTCAGAGTTTTTCTTCCTTAAAGACAGAGATTTACTTGCATACCGGGTTTTCATCGGAAAATCGAGCAATTCGTTTTGCTGATAATGGATCCCGCTGAACCTCAGACCCCGGCCAGTCTCATACAAGCCTCACCAGGCCCTTCCGATAACAAGTTTCGGGATGGGCATCACAAAGCATGCGATGTGTGTAAACGGCGCAAAGTCCGGTGTTCCGGTACTAACCCTTGTCAACAATGCTGCCGCAGCAAGACGGTATGCAGCTACTCTTCCAATCACGGCAAGATAGCTGCCCTGGAAAGGTGGGTGTTGAGGCATGCTCTGCTACGCCGGCTCACCGGAATACTCCGATTCTTTGTGTTTATGGACGCTTTTGTGTTCGAGCTTACAGTTCATCCTGAACAGGCGACTGCGGCAATCAGAAAGGCGTGTGAAGAGTCTTGAAACTGCTTGGAGTCAATTTCTCCCCCAGGTTGACCTTTCTCATGCGATCGAAGCCTCATCGAACGATGATAATCGTCGCACAACATCGGAGTTACCGGCATCAGAGTTATCGACAATACCTACCGGCGATGGTGCTACTGGAATTGGTACCGACTACGCCTCAAGGAACATGTCCAGCGATGTTCGCGATAGTCGGTGTATTCGCGATGATCGATCCCACTCGCCGCCCGACCTTGAGTTTGACACTATTGAGGCTCTAGAATGGGATGAGACTGTAGAGCAGAACATTCTTACTGATGGAATTGGTTCTTTATCTCTTCAGACTAAAGCTTCCGGATACATGGGCCCACAGTCAGGGAACGCTCTACTACGTCATCTCCATTCTGTTGTTCACTTCTTGTCAGAGGACGAAGCTGACCTTGATTTCTCTTCTTTTCCCGTCGACCCCGAGACTTCCCAAGAAACTCAAGCTCTCATACATTCCAACGGATTCAGAAATGAGTGTCTGGACTGGTACTTTCAACACTTCCATAAAGCCTACCCGCTGCTGCATGAAGGGTTCTTTCGAGCTCAGTTAATGGGTAAGTTTTCAATCATGTGAGAATAGGCTCTACGCTTACCGGTGTCTTTTTTTGGTAGGTGCTATACCAAAACCCAAAGATGGGTCGTGGGCGGTCCTCTGTAACATGGTCCTTGCCGTCGGGGCTTTCGCAGGCCCTCAAAGCTCCAACAGGGCTGACCGCCTTTTCTTTCATCACGCCCAGTCGGCGTTGTCCATGGACCTGCTACAGCGCGGATCGATACACCTTGTTCAGGCCTTTCTATTGATGGCGAACTATCTACAAAAGCGGAACAAGCCCAACAGTTGCTTCACATTTCTTGGAGTTGCGATGAACATGGCTCTGGGCCTCGGACTGCATCGCGAGTTCTCAGACGTATCGATTACACCCTTCACAATGGAAATACGACGTCGAGTATGGTGGACTCTGTTCATCTTCGATTCCGGGGCCCGCTTGACTTTCGGAAGATCCTCTATCCTGCTGGCTGGAGGAAATGTCAAATTACCAGTGAATCTGGACGACTCTGATCTTGCAGTTGATAACGAGGCTCTCGGAGAACCCCGAGATTATCCAACCGTGAGATCCTCCCTCATATGGCAGTGCAAATTGGCCAATATCAGCAATGAGGTTAATGCCAGGTTATTGGAAAGAAGATTGCCGCAGCGAGCCGAGATGTTAGCCCTGGACAATCGAGTCCTCCAATGGCAAGAATCCCTACCACCGTTCTTCAAACAGTCGCCTGCCCCTGATCACGCATGGTTCGATGTGCCACGAATGATTCTTCTCTGGCGTGCACAGCACCTGCGAATCGTTCTGACTCGACCATTTCTTCTCGATGCTCTTCAGAGAAGCCAACCCCTTAATACAAACGACGCGAATGACGTTGTCGTACGCTGTATTACAGCGGCTCAAGACTGCACGCAGTCTATCATTAGCTTTTCTCTCACTCGTTCTAGCTGTCCAGGGGCTTTGGCATGGTACGCAACATACTGGCTCGTCACAGCTGTCTTCGTCAGCGTAACGTGCCTGATATATGATCTCCACCATCCGTCTGCCGTAGTCTGGAGGGGACAAATTGAGAATTCACAGAAAACACTACAAACCATGGCAGTTTTTGAGCCAATCGCAGGCCGCGCAGCTCTAATACTCTCGAGAATTATGGGTGAGTACCCGATGATGCGATCCGATTCGCTTGGGAGCCGTTGATGACACAATTCGCAGATCTCGTTCCTTGCAGTCCAAATTCTGTGGCTGACTTGGCTGCCAATGATGCCGTGAGGATGGGTATTACCGATATATGGAGTGAATCTTGGCTGCAAGTGGACTACCAGGCCATGAGTGATCTGGTGCAGACGGTCGATAGCAACGACGTTGAATTGTAATGATATTATTTGCTCTTGCTATATACACTTCGTGCAAGAAAAACGTTATCCCATCTAACCACTTGCATTGGCATGATAGTCCGCGTTGACATGAAAGACCCTAGATTTCGCTCCATTCGTTCACCTTTTCTATGCTGCGATAGAATTCTTGCCAAGACCTGTCAATTGTTCTCAGATGAACGACGTCGACATCCTGGATCCTTTGAGATACCCTTTACGTTTCCATTTTCCTTGTCCAAAATGACTATCCACGGTGATCAACAAACTGCGAGTGTTCTCTGACATTCTCGAGCATGGTGTGGTACTACGAGTGGTATGATGACACCTCAATAGGCAGCTAGCTCTGAGTGAGGTTGGCCACTGAGAACCATCCCGGCTAGATGCTCTAGCAAGAATGACGTTCAATTGCATTGACATTGCAACATCAAACCAACTTTATTTGGCTTCGAAGACCGAGCGTGCGAAGAAAACGGCAGTTTTCGGTGCTTTCTAGAGTTTTTGGAATCCTGATCCAAGATCAAGGTTTGGATCAGAAAAGGCAATTTCGTCTAGACTTTGGAAAGCGAAAACCAATCGTGTGATACTGCCCAGGAAGGCGCAGTGTGGATTATAACCTTCTGAGCTGCATCTGACGTGTTGATTTCTTGGAACCTCCACCCGAACCGCAAACGCCTACCTAGAATCACCTGGTAAGAAAAAGCAGCCTACTGGAGGAGATTCAACGACAGATTCATGATAAATGGCAATAAAAGGCCAGCTGTGTGAAACAATGGTCCAATGGCGGTTCCTCTTTTCCGGTTTCCTATCGTCTGATGTTGTTTATTACATAGCAAGTTGCATCTCTCTTATGCATAAGCCTCACTTTTCCTTCAAAACGAATTAGTCTAGCCTCGTAGTCAAATTTAAGCGTAAATTCTATGCAGTTGCTGCGAAATCGATGTTAAATGTCGGTGTTCAACTACGACGGTATTTTGTTTTAGTCTGGCTGAGTCGACGTAGGGTACCCATGGCATCATGAAACCGGGCTACCGGGGTTGGTGTGCGGAGATGCGCTTAATATTTGGGGTAATGGTGATTGCCTCACTGAAGTTTCCCAGTGGATGGGCTTAGCTCCGATTGGGTCACGAATGAGATGAATGAGAGACGAAAACGAAGGCTTAAGGAAGATGGTGTTCGCCAGCAACTATTACCACGAAAAGGCATATATAGCCGGGCTCAATACCGCTCTCTCCGTCTTTCATCACTCACCGCTATCCAACATCCCCCTTCACCTTCGCAGCTACAATACCAACAATCAACATGGTTTTTGTCAACCTCAACCTCATCTTAGTCGCTTGTGCCGCCGCTGCTGCTGTGGCTGCCCCTGTGAACGATGGCTCTGCCCCTGTGTTGGTTCCTCGTGCTGAGGTATCCGTCTTCATGTGTACCGATCGCGGCTTCAGGGGAGACTGTATGAATGACCTCATTCAGACTGGATCATGCTGTGAGTTAATATTATTATATCAAGAAAGATGTCTCTCTAGTGAGGCAGAGGATTATCTTAGCTCACACATGGCAGACAACGTGCGCTCCGAATTCATCGACCGCATCAGTTCAATTCGGAACAATGATCGAGATCGCAATACTTGCACTTGGTACCGGTACGTCTCAATTTCGATGAAGGGACTATATTACTCCGTCACCAGGTGTCTAACTATCAATAGCGAGCGTGAGTGCCGCGGTGACAGCTACCGCAACCAGGACGACAGCAACCTGGGCGACGGGAATGGGCGCTTCAATGACGCTATCCGCAGCTACGAGTGCAGGAGGAAATAATTGTGCAACAACTCTCTGTTCATGGAATGCTTGACCTGAAAGAGGTAGCCGGAAACGGGAATAACATCGTGTCAGATAATGCGTGCACCTAGTCGCACCAATATGTAATACTGCACTACCCGAAGAAAAGCAAACGCCTGGATACGGACATGGCACGGGAATCCCTGAAGAACTTCAATAACTTTCAACATGGACGTATTGCATCACAGAAAGTATCATGGTATAATGGTAGTTGAACATATCACTTGCCTGTTTCTCTATCTATCATCTATATAAATCTTGCATTTGCGCAGGGGCCTTGCTCCTTATCCCTATCAAGATGATCCTGTCGCTCTGGCTGCCAATATCCCCGGGGCAAATATCTAGTGACTGGGGTATGTACATTTGAAGCCAGCGTTTTATGTACTCAAGTCGGCTCATGCTAACGTCCTGATGCAGCCTCCACATTCTCCTCCATCTCGAAGTGGTACAACTTCGGCTCCATAACGTTCCTCTGTCGAAGAATGTACCGCTTGGTCCACCACGGAAGTACCTCCTTTAGTTGATAAGATGCGTGACGTCGAGTCGATACGGAGAAGACATCGTCAAGCTCTTCCAAGGATCGCTGCTTTGTCTCCGGCATGAACAAGAAGATGGCTACGAAGCAGATTATGTTGGTAACAGCAAACAAGCCGAAGGAGCCTTGGGGTCCTAAGCCTCGCATCATGGGTGGCCAGGTGAGCGCCACAATGACAGCCCAGAAGTTGTTGGTCGCCACGGCCCATGACATTCCCACTTCGCGGTGAGATAGAGGGAAAACTTCTGCTGAGTATACGAAGGCACATGGCCCTTCCCCTGGGCCGTAGAAGGCAGCGAAGATGTAGGTGAACGTGGCAATGACACCTAGATGAGCCGGACTAGACGCAGGAATGTAGAACGCCATTCCAGCTGCTAAGAGAGTAATAGCCATGTTTGGGAATGTTGCAAGAAGTAGGGTCCTTCGACCCCAAGTATCGATGGTCCACAGAGCTGGGATGGCAAAGATGAACATGGCCATGCCGAAACCCCATGAAGCTAGGAGTGCGGTCTGGCTACTTGCCCCGGCGTTCTCAAAAATAGTTGAAGAGTAGAAAGACATGATGTTGACTAGGGTGAAAGAAGATGTTAGTGTCAATCGCTTCATCCGGTTCGATCCCAAGGGGTAGTACTCACTACCGCAGAACTGCTGCGCCGCCATGATAATGCCCGATGCCTGAGTAGCACGACGATTGCGTGAAATCGTGAAGAGCTCTACACACCTAGTGAAGAAATTGCCCTTATCAAAGCCTTTCTCCGCAATCATATTTTCCTCTTCTTGCAGCTGGCTGTGAATGTAATACAGGTCGCGAGCCGCGAGAAAACCCGATCCACGGAGCCTCTTAAGCGACTCATAAGCCTGTTTGCACTTTTTCTTCTTCAGCAACCATCTTGGAGATTCTGGAGTGAAGTAGATGCCGAATAGGAGAGGTACAGCTGGGATCATTGCTGAGCCAAGTTGCAGGCGCCACGCAATATCACCGGTGTTGGCGACTGCCAGGTTGGCGCTGAACCCAAGCATGATTCCGAATGCAACGAACAGCTGCCACGACATGACCAAGGCGCCACGAATATTGGCGGGTGCGTTCTCAGCGGAAAAGACCGGCACAGTGACTTCTTTCAGGCCCATGCCGATGCCCAAAAGGATTCTGCATGCCAGGATCTGCGGCCAGCTCTGGCAAAAGGCTTGTCCGAGTGGCCCAATAACACCGAATATTGCGCCCACGAAGATGGCCCCGCGTCTGCCGATCCAGTCATTGACGGGGTCAGAAAGCCAACAAGCACTGATCAAGAGTTGATTAGTATGATGCTCATACGGAGGCTGATCCCAAACTCACAAAAGACAGATAGCCATGTATGGCGCACTGTTGATAGCGCCTATGATCCAAGAGTTTCTGTCGCAAGTACCGGCAGCAAGGCACTCAGGACCTTTGTCTGATATTCCGAAAGCCTGGGGGAAAGACAGGTTGGCACCGTTAGAACCTGTTTGGTCCCATCCTTGGATCATGGCGCCAATGGAGTTCATGAAGATAGTGAAGTAAAGAGCCGTAGGATGTTTCCATCGATGGGTAGATTCGTTCCGCAAAGCGTCTCGATCGGTCTCGTTGAGCTCCTCGATGTCTTCGTAGTCCCCAGGTCTCTGAGAAACCAACGCTCCTTTGAAGAGCAAAGAGGACTCGCCTCTCATCTCATACAATTCGGCGAAATGGTGCACATCTTGTTGGAGCTGTAGCTTGGGTATCCCGGCTAATGGATTTTTGATTCTACGATGCTGTGAGTTTCAAAGACTCGCAAGTGGTCCTGAAGCAAAGAAGTGAAGACTTACTCTCCGGAGAGAACTTCGACAGCACGGTGCTGAGATTCACGGTGACTGAAATTGACACCCAGGTCCGTCGTTGACTTTGTTCTGCTTCAAGTTAGGAGATTGCCGTTATGAAAACAGCGATTGATATTGATCGACTCACGTCTCATCCGAAGCTTTTGCCATGGTGTCCTCTGATGACAGTAATGACTGGCTACTTTCTCCTGCTCTCTGAGTGAGACCGAGGGGCTGCTGTGTGGAGGGCATGGTAAGCTTAAATCAAAATCCGGGGCGGGAGAAGCCGCTAATATCTATCACAGTGGCGTCGAGGAATCCTGATGTGTCAATCGAACTTGAGGGGACCCCGTGGGGGAACTGCAGTCCAGCTCGGTAGAAGCGCCGAAGTAATTCCCAAACCCAAAACGCACTGACATGCGGCTGCGAGTCGCACAAGGTCAACGAGAAGCATGACAGAGTTTCAGCTCAACATTAATCTCGGTCTGGGCACCGAAGCTGCCAAGAGCTGGCGAGCTAGATCCATGACAGCTTCGGCGTTTTCGCCGGCACTACTGATAAAGACCGAGAAGGCCAAGAATTTATCTATGGGCAGCCATGCCACAATTAAGCAGTGAAATATCTAATAGACGTCAAACAAGGTAATTATTCAATATGCGAAATATACTCGGCGAACAAATTCGATTTAAAAATATGCATGTGTGCATTTGACCTGAGGAAACTTCGCCGGGAATTCGGTATTTTCTCCAACAGCGCCACCAAATGCATGAGAACGTCAAAGTCGTTCTTTAGAAGTCGCGTGATGATAAATGTGGCTTTTGAAATCTCACCGTAAAGGCAATTGCCCACATATGTCTATAGACCCGCAAAAGAATATCGTGACGCTAACAAATCAGACAGATGCATACCTGGAGGGTTTTCCACCTTGCAGCTGAGCGATGCCTGTGTTCTTCTGGCTGAATAATACAGAGGAATGGTCCGTCCTTTACCTTGATAGACATCCAATACGAATTCGTTGCAGACACGCTTGGGTTTGAAAACATCACACGCCACGGTGGCCAACAGTAGGACGATCTCTCATCGGTAGTGGACTGTATCCTAATAATCGTGGCGGTAGAAGTACGCTCGAACTTGGGTCGGCGGTCGAATTGAGTTCGCATTTTGGTGGATATGCTTGCATGAGAAATATGCGGATCATTTTCTACTACATGTCTCGAATAACCGAGTCCGCTATCTTCTCAGCAAAGGCGTATATGAGTGCTTGGGGATGTCCAGGCGGTAGTAGTGCCATCGAACTCGCATCCACGACGCGAAGCTTGTCAACCCCAATCACCCTGGCCAAGTTATCTGTCACAGCCGTCGGATCATCTCGGTGTCCCATACGTGCAGTGCAGGAGGCATGCATAACCGCCATCACGCTTGACCGAATGGTAGCCAGAATTTCCTCATCCGTCTTCACATCTGCGCCTGGCCAATACTCTGCATCGCTAGCGCGAACGCTTCGCACCGCATCCGTGTTGAAGACATCGCGAATACGCTTGTACATGGCCACCGCGACCTCCAAGTCACCTGGATGGGTCAACCAATTCGGATTTACGAGCGGACGATCCGAGGGTGAGTTGCTGGCAAGTGATACGTTGCCTCTGGAGAGGGGCGCAGCCAACGCTGCAATGATGGCAGCGTACATTTTCCCATCCTTTGGCTGATCCAACCATGGAATGTTGAAGGAGCCGATATGGCCCGCAGCCGGGAAGTACTCGATATGAGGCCAGTCTTTAGGGAAAGCTAGAAGCTGAGACCAGGTTGACTCGCTCAAGTTGGCGCTGCTGGGCATTCTCTCCCAGGCCAGGAACTCGGCCACATTGCTTGTCAGTGGACCTGTCTGGGTGAGTCCATAATCTAGGACGGCTTTAGAAAGAGCGACAGGATCCCCGAGAACTTTGTTGAGTGTGTCGAAGGTCACCTGGTATGTTGGGCCGAATAGCGCGTGATCAGTGAGGTTGCGTCCCACCCCTGGACGGTCTGCGATGACATCAATGTCATGCTCTACAAGATGCTCTGCAGGTCCAATGCCAGACAACATCAAAATTTGTGGTGTGTGAATGGCACCGGCTGAAAGAATGACCTCCTTCCTCGCAGTGATCGCATGCTTCAGCTGACCCAGGGCAGTGACCTCAACGCCAGTGGCTTTCTTGTCTTCATCAAAGAGCACCTTGTTGGCTCGAGTACCCAGGTAGACCGTGAGCTTGTCGCTCATATTGGTGTCTCTTGCCGCATAAATGAATTCAGCCGAGGTAGACCGGACCTGTGCTCCGGGATCTATCGTTGTCTGAGCATAATGGTAACCATCCAGCACGCCCTGATTGAAGCGGTCTGTCAACGTCATTCCGAGCGCCTCAAACCCCTTGGCTGCCCATGTTGACCATACGGGTGTCCAGTTGGCGTAAGTCACCTGAATGTGAGAGTTCGATGATGCATCGAAGTCGTTCTCGGAGTATGTGGTAGTTGCATTCGACAAGCGGGTTTTGGTGTTTGGAGGCGTGAACTTAAAGCTTTTCCGGAAAAATGGGAGAAACTGGTCGAATCTGTAACTATCATCACCAACAGCATCGGCCCAAGCGTCCAATGCGCCCCGGTTCGGTCGATGATGGATCATAAAGTTCAGAGCCGATGTGCCACCAAGACACTTTCCCTGCGGGTAGTGCATCTCGCGGCCCCCCGCACCAACTTGAGGGACAGTTTTCAGCCCATAGTCCACGGTTGGTATGCTGTCGACTGGGTTGGATCCAACGCCGATAATGTCGCCGAGAGGTGCAGGTCCAATGATGGGTTTGCCAACTTGGTAAGAAAGCCCGGCCTCGACAATGGCGACGGTATGACCAGCTTCTGCAAGACGGTAGGCAATGGTGTTGCCAGCCGTACCGCCCCCGACAACGACATAATCGTATGCCTGTTCTAGACCGACTGTACCTGTGAGACTGCCCAGAGACGTATGAACAAGACCATCCAGTGTTGTCCAAATGCTGCCGGTGATGGGGTCGAGTACCGGATCAAGTACGGGAAGTGCTGTGACTGATGAAAGAATTAAGAATTTAAAGAGAAGCATTTTGAGACTGAGTGAGAAGGTGCAGGCGAGTTTCATCCGAATGGTGATGACATATTGGAAACGAAAGAGTTTTATAGAGAAATAGCCAAGCTTGTGCCCAGCATTCAAACAGTTACACCGTCCGGCTGACTTCCGATGTTTGTGTGACGGAAGGCTGCAGCTTCCCGTCCGCCATCATTGGTGATTATTTCCCATTTGCTGGAATTCCGTTGATCATTCCCAATTGGACCCCCTTTCCAAACATATTGGCCTCCTAGCAGGGCACAAGAGTCAGTGCAACAAGAATGAATCCGAAGATGCCGTGTGTGTCGTCTCTTCGGTCTCCATTGCCAGCGTACCCTGGATCCACTGTCTTTGCCCTACAGCGTAACATTTCCACTTGAGACTGACAATCCACCCGCCGGTGTGACCCTCCGCAAGCACTGACGCCCCTCGCTAATTGGTTATAACGTCGAGAAGACATGGGGGGCACGCGGATTTGACAAGGGCAGTGTAAGCAGTGCTGGGGATACTTGACGAATTGAGTTGCCAGAACTGAACTTGTGGATATGCGGGCCAGCGGATTGTCAATTCTGACAAGAATCACAGAAATGGGGATCAGCAAAATCATAAGTGAGCTTCGAATGAATTTCCGCATTGATACCCTGATGAGAGGGTCCATGGCGATGTACTTGCCGTAAAAGGGCCTGCCACTCGCACACTGCCGAGAGCCTTATCGAAGGGTTGAGGGAAATCCCTGGCTGATCAAGTTCGCAAGCCAAATTTGAACCAACAAATGTGTATTTAACGACTGTGCTGCCCTGTAATCTTAGCGTGTTGGTTTGGGTATTGCCATCGGTATCTCGACACCACAATGAAGTTCAGTGCTTCGTGTCTGTTCGCTGTCTTTGCTGGGCTATCTGCGGCCCAGTGGGACAACAACTCGACCGCTCCGATTGAACTTGCGCCTGCACCATGGACTTTGAAGGGTACTGTCTACTCCATCACCCTGGTTCCTCTGTCGGATGACCTTCCGAACAAGGCATTTCCACCTTTGGAGCGACAGTATGCTTCGGCTACCGAGGGCGAGTATCTGGGTATTTTGGGTATGATTCAGATCATTCGATACAGCGAGAGCCCTGTCGGACCGTATGATGAACTGCTCATTGTGCCTGGGTTCTTCAAGTACAACCACACCAACGCCGAGGGTGAACGCGAAGAAAACAAGAATGTCAGGGTCAGCCGCATCTATGTCAGCCAGAAGTACACCTGCTGGAACGGAAGAACGAGTATGTTTCAACTAGTTGCACCCGTCGCGTTTACTAAGAGTCGGAGCAAACCACTAATGAATCACAGACTGGAACATCCCAAAGCATTTGGCTCGTTTTGACTGGACTGAGAAGGAGAATGGTGAAACCACGGTCAAAATCTACCCGCATGATACCACGGGCGATCTGAGCGAATCTATGCCCGCGAAGAAGCCTTGGTTCAAGGCTACATTCAAGCCAGACTTGGTGAACGGTTTGCCTTTCAGCACCGATCTGTACAAGATACTCGGAGTCAACGCGACCCTGGCACAGCCGCCTTTGCCGTCCGCAAACAGTACCTATGGAGAACTGGCAGGTACGGATCACTGGGCGGCCACTGTGCCAGGCCAGGTCACTGACAACGCGTCTTTGGGCGTTTATGACCTGGATCAAGGAGATGGGGACGTTGAAGAGGGCAAGAACACCAACGCGGTGGGCGATGAGTACTTCCCAAACTTCTGGCCAGGACTTTTGCGTTTCAATGCAGGAATCAAACTCGAGAACGCGACCATCACTTTCAGTGAACCCGAGATTTGGTCCAACTGATCTCTTTTCTAGCGGCATCACCGCATCAGGGACCAAGGTCGCTTTTTTTTTCTGCAACGCGATCTGTTCGGAGTCATATTCTGCCCTCGAAAAACGAAAAATTAGTCGTGGCGTTATGAGAGTGTCATTGAAGGACTGTGATGTCGGCGTGCGGAAGTTCAAGCCTAGGGACGAGAAGAAGGTCATTATTTCGTACATAATATAACATATCTCCGCACCAAGAGAGTAGGTACCCATTTCGGAAGTGAAGAAAAGGGGAGAAGAAAAAAACACATCAAAGATCTCGAAAAACTGCGCAGCACTGCTGGTGCAAGGGCGCGGATGAGTTGTCCCTCATTTGGGCTAACCCCTCAAGTTTGCCGGGGTTTACTTCTTAGATGCCGGTAAGTGAGATGTGGAGACTTCCAGAAATGGAAATTTAGGCGTTCAAGCCAATGAGATGTAAGTAATTCAATGGTTAGTCGGCGCTACTGCTGTCTTCCATATGGCAGACAGAATAACTTATTCAAGTTCGGTTCCATCGGTCAAATTCCTGAGTCTCAGGCGACTTTCTCGAGCTTCTGCGCTCCTCGGAGATCGTCCATACATACTTTTCGATGCCTGACTCCAACTAAAAGCTCGTCTCGAGTTGCCTTCCGAAGGTTCCCAAGTGGGGTCGTCTTCGCACGGTCTCATGTCTTTGAGCTTGACAAGACCACCGGGAGGGCGCGACGGGAGGGCGCGAATTGTCAATCAAGACGCTGCTAAGTGGAGTTGACAATATTGTTTGACGATTGAAGAGGGAGTCCGCAAGATCCTGGAACTATTTAAAGGTTTCGCCGTCGACACCACCCTCCAGACGTCTTGCTTCCTAGATTTTGGGTAATCGACACTCTCCCTTATCTGTTAAACTTTGCCCCCGGGTGCTCCTCTCCCAGATTCAATCACCAACTATAACCCGACAACATGGTTCAAATCAAGCCTTTTGAGGTGGAGGAATGGATGGATCGCCTGGAAACCACGCCAGGAGCCCTCAATCTTGCCGAGACCTGTTGCGAGTCAGTGTCTATTCAAGAACTCACGCAGTTATGTTCCGACCCTACCGTTCCCGGCCCGCTTGACATAGCAACCCGACGACTCACTTATGGAGCAATCTATGGATCGGAAGAAACGCGCCAAAACATTGCCAATCTGTACCGAGATGAGGCTTCGGAGGACCTTCCCAGCGACCAGGTTGTCGTCACTCAAGGAGCCATAGTCGCCAACTTCCTTCTCCTGTACAGTCTCGTCGGCCCAGGCGATCATGTCATCTGTATCTATCCCACGTACCAACAGCTCTATGAGGTCCCCAAGAGCCTTGGGGCGGAGATCAGTCTGTGGAAGACGAAGCCAGAGAACCGATACATTCCCGACGTCAAGGAGCTTGAGGGGTTGGTTCAAAAGAACACAAAGGTTTGAATCACGAGCGGTCAATTAGTAGCTAAGCTAACATCTCACCAGATGATCATCATTAACAACCCGAACAACCCTACTGGAGCGACAACGCCAAAGTCAGTCCTGCTTGATATTATCCACTTCGCGAAAGCTAGGGGCATCATCGTTATGGCGGACGAGGTCTACCGCCCTCTCTTCCACAGTTTGCCCGAGGGGGAGCCCATCCCCCCATCTATCCTGTCCCTGGGATATGAGAAGACAGTTTCCACTTCGAGTATGTCCAAAGCATTCTCTCTTGCAGGCATCCGTCTTGGGTGGATTGCGTCCAGAGACCCAGCCATCATCGATGCTATCAAGAGCGCCCGGAACTACACCACAATCAGCGTTTCGCAACTGGACGACAGAGTGGCAGGATACGCGCTCTCAGATGCGGTGAGGCCGAACCTTTTGAAGAGAAACATTGAGCTTGCGAGAACCAACCTTGCTCTCGTTGAGGACTTCATCAAAAAGCACAGCTCTTCCTGCTTCTGGGAGATCAAACCTACTGCAGGCACCACTGCCATGATTGGTTTCAAGAGAAACGGCAAGCTTGTGAACGACGCCGATTTCTGCCTGGAGATTCTGAAGGCCACCGGCGTCCTTGTCATGCCAGGCTCAACCTGCTTCGGGCAAGGGGTTGAGTTTGAAGGGCAGATGCGGTTCGGATATGTTTGTCGCACAGACGTGTTGAAGGAAGGCCTGGAAAAGCTTGGAAACTATCTTGAAGAAAGGTCGTGAATTTCACCATATTGGGGATTTGGTCTCGGTCTCGTATACAGGCTTGATTGACTTGAATTTCGCATCTTGACTATGAACTAGTACTGAATAACATGAAAGAAACACCTCAACCCTGTTTGTTGTCTCGAAGAAGTTGATGTCACGTAGGTTGGCTTGTTTGGTCAATCTTGTAATATGATCAGGCCTTGCAGGCTTGCCACTTTACGTTAACCTGCTGGGTAAAGGCAACAGTAGCATCATCGTCAGTGATGGCACCATAAGACGTCGCATTCTTTGAAGTCAGAGCAATGCGGTTGTTGACGTTGAGAATGCCCGTTGCGCCGCATGGGGCCCAGATAATCGATGCAGTCGGGATGCTATCCTGCTTGGTGTATACCTGTCCATCTTTCCAGATGCCCCCACCAGAGATGGAGGTCTGAGTGGTGGTCGTGGATGAGGCATCTTGAGAGAAGAAGTAGGTTGAGAAGAACGTCCCAGTGACTCCCTCGTCGAGCTGGGCGTAGCCGTGATAGGTGCTCTCCACGACGGCGAACTGAAAGCCACCAGGATACTTGAGACTCAGGTGTAGGGCGCAGTTCTTGGTACGGTCGGCGATGGAGAGTCCAGGGCCGATGTAGGTCTGGAAACGGTCGAAGCCAAAGGTGATGACGGTGCGGTCAGGGGAGATTGTAGTTGAGACGGAGCCCTGGGGGCAACCGCTGCCGGAGAAGCTGGAGCTGACGATCTGAATCTCTTTGGGGTCAGGGGTGTCCGAGATGCCTGTCGGCCCAAGTGGCGTGGCAGCGGCGAGAACGGGGAGAAGGAACAAGAGGAAGTTCTTCATTGTGATTATCTGTGTCGAAGTATGAGATGGGAATCAAGGATGGAGGTGGTGCTACTACTGTGTGATAGGGAACACTGGAACCACTTGCTTATTTATACGTAAGATGATACTGCTAGATTCATAAAAAGGAGCGTTTAGGTCTCCGATAAGGTAGGCTCTTCTGGTGTCCTTGACAAGGACCAAGCGAAACCGAGAGGATTCGGGTCACGATACGAGGTTCGCGGCACGAATCAATGCCACTACTTCATGCAAAAGGACCATCTGATTCTCATACATTAACTTCAATTTTTACCCAAGTCCATCGATGCTTGTCTATTTCAGTGTCCGTACTGTTGTACCATAAAGGCCTCAGCACTTCCAATTGGTCATGCTGCAACAGAATGTCGGCCAATTTGCGGTTGAAAGGATGCAAATGAATCGAAACTGAACCAAAGCCGCTATTTCCTGGAGCTTGCAGAAACGCCCGAGACTATTGAGGAACTTCTTAACATGCATGAGCGTCTCGTGAGGGGTGCCTCTGTACTGTCATCTTCAACATGGATAATGAGGAGGCTGTTTGGAACCTGAACTGGTGTGTGATTTGATCTATCAACGTACCTCTGACATGGAGAAATTTCTAGTTATTTCTTTCCTCGTCAGTCTTCATTGGAGCATATTTGGAGCATTGGCTTACAAAGATGCGGTATTATGAGTGTGACCTGCCGGTACTCCTCAGAGTAGTTGATGGATATCTCTCACATGACTTGTGATGGATACTCAACAAACCCCATGTTCGAACCGAGAGTTCATACGGTGATACCACCCAGCGCCAAAGGTTGAAGCTCCATACTAACCGTATTCAGTAGGAGGACCCTGAATATCCGGCGCGTACCGAGGATCAGTCTTATTGGGCGAGCCCGGTTAATAGCAATGGCTGTTCCGACTTCGCCAGATAGTATGAGCCCAGCGGCACGGTAGCGCCTCGATGGTCTCAGCTTACCGGCTGAATTGCAATTGACAATTAACTCCGAGGCCGTGTTCAGCTGGCAAATATGCTCTCGATATTAAGTTGCGTGAAGCTGAACAGGAGGCCCCAACACGAGATGCAGGTAATATCAGGCCTCGTCGTGGTGTCCGCTATGTCGAATGGTGCCGAAGCCATCAAGTGACCTTTGTGGATTCATTTACGTACACCCAACAGTTGATTGCTACGTCCATGTTTTATGCCAAGTGGCATTGCAGTGACTGGCCACGAGGGGGCTGGGCTGTTGCCTTAACCTTCTACGCTCTTATGCATCAATAGCAATTGTGGATGGGCGAGTCGAGAACCTCCCTTAATCTCGAGATGCGGGTCACATGGTAGCATACGCCGGCATATTGAGTAACATCCAATTCAAACTTTACAGTGAACTCCGGCTAGATCTAGATAGCATGACTTTACGTGATTCATTTTAGGAAGGCTTTTCCACGTTCACTCATTTTCCATCATTCCCTCCCTTAAGCACCCTCAACCTGCTTGAGGATACCCTCCAAGTTGATGCTCTTGGGGCGCTCAATGGGCAGGCCGAGAGCGCGGTCCCAGATGAGCTGTGCAAGGGGCCCAAGACCACGAGAGACACCGAAGGTGGCGGTGTAGTAAAGCGTCTCGTGGAAGCCGTAGTGGTGGAAGAGGACACCAGAGCTTGAGTCAACGTTGGGGTAAGGGTTCTTGGTCTTGCCATGCTTCTTGAGGACCTCAGGAGCGATGCGGCTGTTCTTCTCCACCAACTGGAATACTGGGTCCTGAGCGATCTCGGGTCGCGCGGCGGCGTAGTCCATCAAGGCCTCGAAACGGGGGTCGGGCTTGCGGAGAACGGCGTGGCCGTAGCCAGGAACGACTCTGCCGGAGTTGAGAGTGGACCACAGATAGTCGTTGACATCCTTGTCAGAGTAGGACTTGGGGATGTTGTCCTTCATCTGGAGGATCCATCGAAGAACCTCCTGAGCGGCGAGTCTAGTTTCTGTTAGTTACTGCTTGGGGATCGGGCTCAACACTGCTCAACTCACCCGTGAAGGGGTCCGGCAAGACCCTGGAGACCGGCGCTGTAGCTGAGGAAGACATCGCTGAGAGCGCTGCCAACCAGGTGGGTGGCGTGGGCGGAGACGTTGCCTCCCTCATGGTCACCGTGGAGGGCGAGGTAGAGCCTCAGAAGATCCTGGAAGTTCTCGTTCTTCTTGCCGCCCTTTCCAAGCATAGCAGCGAAGTTGTAAGACCAATCCTGCTCGAGGTCGACCTCGGCAGGGAGGGCACCGCCGCCCTTGTAGGAGTTCTGGTAGATCTTGGCGGCAATGGTGGGAAGCTTGGCCAGCAGAGAGATGGCGTCGTCGAAAGTGGGCTCCCAGTAGTCAGCCTTGTTGAGACCCTGCTCGTAGGCCTTGGCGAATTTGGAAGTGTAGTTTAGGGAAGAGACGGCGATGGCAAACTGGGTCATTGGGTGCAGGTCTGTAGGGAAGTCGTCCAGCATCTTGTTGACGAATGCGGGAAGCTGAGCCTGTTCGGCGAGCTCGCGAGAGAACTTGCGAACTTGGTTTGTGGAGGGGACCTGGCCGGTCAGGAGAAGCCAGAACATGGCCTCGGGGAGCATCTCTGTTCCCGTCTTTCCCTTGGGGAGCTCCTTTTGGCAGTCCTTGATGGTTCTTCCGTGGAAGCGAATGCCCTCGTTCGCGTCGAGGACTGAGCCTTCCCAAACCATGGCCTTGAGACCGCGCATGCCGCCGAGGGTGTTCTCGACCTTAACCTCGCCAATGACTTTGTCGGAGTGGGCCTTGACCTTCTTCAGGAGCTCTCGCTTGGCGGGGATGACCTGCTTGAGGGTGGTCTTGAGGTCTGGTTCGGAAGAAGAGGAGTACTGGCGGGCATTGAGAGCAGAGCGAGCTGCCAGGGGCTTGTTCGAGTTAGCCATGAGTGTTTTGAAGTTGAGCGAAGCTCGATATGGGCTTGTCAACATACCCGCAGAGCTCCCAGAGCTCTGGTGCTTCGCGTGACGTTCATCGCCATTGTGTAGCCGGTCGCGGGGAAGCTCAAGGGAGAGAAGAGCAGGGAAGGAGGGGTATTTAGAGGGGTGAATGTGACGCAGCCCTGTGTGAAAGAGCTTGACTGGTATTAGACCTGGTATCTCACGCTGGCTAGGTCAACAGATTGAATTGTCCAGTTGGATGGTTATGACTTGGGAGGAAGATGCGACGGCAGTGGAAGAATTGGAGGACGAGAGAAGAGACAAAGATGCTTCGGGAGCCTCTTGGAGGCGGCGTACCTGGTACATGGCCGACGCAGCTTACCTTACCTACCTACCTTAGGCCGAGACAGACCATGACTTTAGCCCGAGGTTGGAGAAGCCTGGGCCAGGAGCATTGACGCGCCCCAAGAGGGTTGCCATGCTTGTACCAAAGCAACATGCATGGGAGCTCACTCGGGCTGTTTTTGTGTACAGCATCTCACTGCAAAACACGTCCTCTGAGATACGGTAGGGTACCTGTTTCCCTAATGCTTTCAACTGAGATAGCAGTACAGGTACCTGTACTGACAGTGGCTGGTAGGTTTCCAGTCCACGGGCACATTCGCCTTGCCGTTATTGCCAGACGAGGAGCATTCTGGTGCAGTGGCAGTGGGGGATACGGGGGCGGGACCCCAGCTTTTCCCACCTTCCTCCTCCACGATTAGCGGGTAGCGGGCAGCGGGCAGCGCGGGCAGTGCGGGTTGACCTCACTGAGGAGCTCGGTGCTCACTATCCGTGCCCCCTCACTGGCTGCGGCACACGGAGGACCCCCGGAAGTGGCCCACGTCTGAGGGGAAGAGGGACTGGACCGAGGCAAGCCGAGGGCTTCTGGCGGATCAGAGACATGTCAATTGGCCAATCGACCGCAGTGTCCCTTCTGGGTCTTCACGTGGGCTGCGTGACCCGTTAATAGCGGCCATCTCTTTGCCGTTGCTTACCAAGGCCCAACCCTCGCTTTTGCCCGGCTAACTGTGGCCGATGGTGTTTTGCGTATTGTCCACGTTATTTCCAGCAGACGGTCGAAAGGAATGAGGGCATAGCCATCTTATGTAAGTTGCTCCTACCGAACGCCGAACCGGTTCCGCTCGGATTTGTCTTTTCTCAGTGCAAAAGTCCATGTAACTAGCTGGGAGTATCCGTGTTGCGCCCTTGCTGACTAGGCGGCTGTCAGAATACCCAACTGACAATATTACCCCTCCAGACACTGGTCTCAACCTACGTCCGTCACCTAAGGTAGCTGTTGCATACCCAAATCAGCCACGATGTTGCGGAGAGCTGCTACACGCGCAGTCTCCCGAAGGACTCCTGTCCCGCGACCGACAGCCACTCCAGCCATTGCCCTGCGCTGCATCTCGACGACCCGCAGCATGGCACAGGCCCCCGCGAACCCCTTCGCTGCAGCTCCGTCCAGCGATGCGTTCCAGCTCCTCCCCGAATCCAGGAAGGCGGGCGCTGCCGAAGACGACCTGTACGAGGCACAGATCAAAGAAGTCGAGACATGGTGGCGGTCACCCAGATACGAGGGCATCAAGCGCCCCTACAGTGCCGCCGATGTCGTCTCCAAGCGTGGTTCCCAGCAGCAGTTCTACCCAAGCTCTGTCATGGCGAGAAAGCTCTTCAACCTGGTGCAAGAGCGCATCGCTGAGGGCAAGCCCATTCACACAAGTAAGAAGCGTCCAGGGCCCGACGTGATGTTACTACAGGTTACTGATTCTGCGAGGTAGTGGGTGCTATCGATCCCGTCCAGATGACCCAGCAAGCGCCGCACCAAGAGGTCCTCTACATCTCCGGCTGGGCCTGCTCGTCCCTTCTCACATCCACCAACGAGGTGTCCCCCGACTTCGGCGACTACCCCTACAACACCGTACCGAACCAGGTCCAGCGCCTGGCCAAGGCTCAGTCAATGCACGACCGCAAGCAATGGGATGCCAGACGGAAGCTCACACCGGAGCAGCGCGCCAACACTCCCTACACAGACTACCTGCGGCCCATCGTCGCCGACGGTGACACCGGGCACGGAGGTCTTTCTGCCGTGCTCAAGCTCGCCAAGCTCTTCGCAGAGAACGGCGCTGCGGCGGTACACTTTGAGGACCAGCTGCACGGCGGCAAGAAGTGCGGCCATCTTGCCGGCAAGGTCCTCGTGCCTACCGGAGAGCACATCAACCGCCTTAACGCGGCCCGCTTCCAGTGGGACGTCATGGGATGCGAGAACCTCGTCCTGGCCAGGACAGACTCGGAGAGCGGCAAGCTCATCAGCAGCGCCATCGACGTTCGCGACCACGAGTTCATCCTCGGAGTCGCTGACCCGCAGCTCGAGCCTCTGGCCGAGACCATCCAGGCCATGGAGGCCAAGGGCGCGGCAGGCGTCGAGATTGACTCGTTCGAGGCCAACTGGGTCAAGTCTACCAAGCTTGTGACGTTTGACGAGGCTGCCGTTGCACACATGCAGAAGGAAGGCGTCTCCCAGGCCAAGATCGACTCCTACCTCCAGGCCACGAGCAAGAACCGCGACATGGGCATCTCCCAGCGCCGCAAGCTCGCCAACCAGCACACAAAGACCCCCGTCTACTTCTCATGGGACATCCCCCGCACCCGCGAGGGCTTCTACCACTTCCGCGCCGGCATGGAGGCCGCCACGAAGCGCGCCATTGCCTTCGGCCCCTACGCCGACCTCTTGTGGGTCGAGACGGGCGATCCGAACGTCGAGGTTGCGTCGAAGCTGGCCAAGGCCGTACGAAAGGTCCTCCCCGGCAAGGGCCTCGTGTACAACCTCAGCCCGTCGTTCAACTGGATGGCGCACGGCTTCACGGACGAGACGCTCAAGAGCTTCATCTGGGACATCGCCAAGGAGGGCTTCGTGCTGCAGCTCATCTCCCTCGCGGGCCTGCACTCCAACGCCACCATCACCAACGAGCTGGCGCGCGAGTTCAAGACGGACGGCATGTTGGCGTACGTCAACCTTGTGCAGAGGCGCGAGAAGGAGGGCGGCTGCGACGTGTTGACGCACCAGAAGTGGAGCGGCGCCAGCTACATTGACGGCATTCTCGGGGCTATCCAGAGCGGAAGCTCGAGCAGCAAGAGCATGGGCGAGGGCAACACCGAGAGCCAGTTCCACTGACTATAAAGATACAATCAACAGAAAACAAAACAGCATTGGGCGGCGTTGAGGATCTGTGTAGCCAACTTTGAATGAACAAAATCAATTGGATATGTTGAACCAAGTACTATGCTTGCAACCCTTGATGCATCACTATGCTGTGTCTCCCCGACGACGAAATCCCACGGACGGTGAAGCATTTCAAGCGTCTATTCACAATTTCATCATCATGACCATCAACCAGTGTCCCCAGCTCTTTACCTAGCGCGCCAAACTCCAGTGCCTTGTATGTTGTTTATCGAAAAATGGTATCGGATCACGTAGCCTGCTCGTTTACTGGAGGCTGTTGAGGCTGGCGTTGTTCGCCGGCGCAGCCAACGCGGGACCCTCGGGGGTAACGTAGGCCTTGGTCATGCCACCATCAACAACCATGTCGTGGCCGTTAACGAAGCTGGCCTCATCGGAGGCGAGGAAGAGGACGGCCTGGGCCTGCTCAATGGCCTCGCCGAAGCGACCAGTGGGGAAGTGAACCTCGCGACGCATGCGCTTGGGGATGTCGTCGCCGAGCCAGTCCTGGAGAAGGGGAGTGTTGAGAGGTGCAGGGCACAGGGAGTTGAAGCGGTAACCCTCGCGGGCGTGGACCATGGCGAGCTCGCGGGTCAGGGCAAGGACGGCACCCTTGGAGGCGGTGTAGGCAAGCTGGGGAGTAGCAGCGCCGACGAGGGCGACAACGGAGGCGGTGTTGATGATGGAGCCCTTCTTCTTGCCGGCGCGGCGGAGAGCAAGAACGGCGTGCTTGCTACCGAACCAAACACCCTTGACGTTGATGTTCTGGGTCAGGTCCCAGATCTCCTCGGGAGTGTTGACGGCATCGTCGTCGCGGGCGTGCATGATGCCGGCGTTGTTGAACATGACGTCCACACCGCCCCAGGGGTCGACCGACTCGACGAGGGCCTTGACTTGGTCCTCCTTGGAAACATCGCAGACCTATTGAATTGTGTCCAGTCAGGATTACGGTGTCCCGATTGAATGTGTCGCACATCCCAAAATGGGTGCAATCTCGCGATGTTTCGTGTGTAGGGGAAGGAGGGTGGCACAAGGCGCAATTGACGGATGATGGATGGCGGGGCAATGGCGGGGTAATTATTTTTATTTTGCGGTGTTGGGTCGGCGCAGGATGCGAGACAATCATTTGTCTGGCGCGCATGTGTTTGGTGCAGGTGCAACGTGTTTTTGGGTGACTCGGCGGGTTATCGGAGGGGCGGGAATGGAATCTTCCAAGACGTCTCATTCGCTTTGACGCAGGCGCGCCAAGTGCAGTGTGTATAGAGGCAAACGTACCTTGGTGTCGACCTTGGCCGTGGGGACGAGCTGGATAACCTTGGCCTTGGCCTTGTCGAGCGCAGGAGCGGAAATGTCGGCCATCATGACGCTGGCGCCCTCCTTCGCGAAGAGAATGCTGGTCTCGAGACCAATGCCTCTGTTTGGAAAAAAGGAACAGTCAGCTTATCGCATCTTGGTGTTTGGGTTGCCGTGCGTATATCTTCAACGCCCAGCCGTTGGGTTCGTCTGAATGCGCCCCTCATGATAAGGCGACTAAGAGACTTTAGGGGGAAATTTCTTGCTTACCCAGCAGCGCCGGTGACGACGGCGTTCTTGCCGGCCAGTCTGCCGGTGATTTCGGTCGGAACAGAGCCCATTGTGTCGGTTGGTTGTGAAGGGGTTGTAGGTGGATGTGGTGATGTTGGGGTGCAGGTCGCGATGCGGCGGACGGATGAGTTGGGGTCGTAGAAAGAAGAGCGCCGAGGATGGGGTATAAGTTTTCTGGGAGATGACAAGATGGAAAAGAGAAGAAGTTTTGGAAAACACCACGAGACGACGGGCTCTGTTTAAACCAGACCAGGACGGGGTTGGATTAGTAGAATGGAGCGGTGGAAGAAGGGGCAGACGGAGCAGACGGTCTTCACACAATGGAACAGATGAGTCAAGGAAATCCGGGGTCCAGGCCCAAGTTCCTGCTGCCCCGGCCACTTTCCATGGCTTACGATAGTCGGATGGATGATACCAGACACCCAAACACCTTTACGTCTACCCTCCTTCGTGCTTGCCTTGCCTCGTCTTAGCCTCCCGTGGCAGATAACACAGAGACATACACGGAGTAGGCACTGGATACATCATACAAGCAAGGGAAGGCGCGTGCGGGAGCGGACGGCGGACGCGGTTACATATCGCGCTACACATCGGCCCCCTTTCTGGCGATCCTGCATCACGATTAGCTGCCTCGCTGCTTGGATCTGTCAAGAAAGTAGCGGAGAGGTCGCACAGGTGCTCTGATAGACTGTAGATCCGACAACGGCGGCGCATATCGAGCACCTGAGACGAAAGTCACTGAGGTAGGTGAACCCCAGTCCATAGTCTGCCCCAGGCAATAGAAGGGAACAAGGTGGGCTTCGCTTCGTATCGTGAGATGGATGTGCGCAGAGATCGTGATCAGCCAGCCCCAGCCTCCGCCATCATGTCTATCGCAGGCGATGTCGATTCGTCGGTGAAGCGCAATGCAGCTGCACTGCAAGCATGGAGGAGGATGCCAAAGACGGAAGACAAGAAAGCGTTCGACGGCCGCATCTCCGATATCGCGTTATCTCTTATCAGTGAAACTTGGTTGGCCAGAGGTTCAAAGACCGCCAGGACCGCGCAGGACCGCGCACCGCGGCATGACGGCAACTCAGGAACCAACCCCTCCGTTGCTGATAGAGGGGAACGGGGGAGCCACCGAGGGGCACCAAAAGGTTGGTGGGACACAGTGAGAGCCCGCAATGAGGGGCAGTGGAGGATGACTGAGGGAGCGCGAGACTTGTAGGTTGATGAATTTCATGGTTCTGAATCTCTGAGGCGTGGTTCACCAGGTTGTTTTTTGTACTCAGAGGCTTATCAAAGAACGTCGGTATATCTATCTCAATTAAGAAATATGGAAACAAACAAAGAAGAAAAGACCCTAGGTGCATCCGAAAGTGCATCTGGGATTCGAGCTAAGGCTGCGGCAGGCCAATGACAGCGACTGGAAGACTCGGACTAGAAGCGAAGGCGACCCGACAGGAAAAGGCACAGACAGTGGTGCCCCCCGAATGATCAGACACGTCGCCACTGATGAGTGATCCGGGCGGCAGAATGCATGCATTGGGGATTGGATGCTGGACAGGCACAGAGGCATAGAAGCGACTGCTGCAGCTGGTCGGAGGTTGCTGCTGCTTGGCTTGCACAGTAAGAATTCCTTGAGTGCACAAGTGCAGTGCGAGAGCAGAAGGAGGCGAGGCGGTCTGGCCGCCCACCCCCCTCCCCAACATTCATCCCATCGTCATGTGGGCGTCTTGGCTCGCAACGGGGGGCACTGTCAAACGTCCTGATGCTGGCAGTCGCCGAATGGACCGGACAATCCATTACCATTCGCAAATTCCCCATTCGTGGACCGCAACCGCAGACCGCGAAGTGTCTCTCGATGGACCGCAGACAGGTGCGTTGTCAACCGCGCTTGCTGTCCTGCTGATTGATGGCAGCGGCGGTCAAACGGGTTGAGTTTCTGCCTCTGCGGGGGCGAAGAGCTTGAGTAATGAGAATAGCATCGCGGCAAATGGCAACTGCGGGATGGGGGAATGGGAAAGAGGATTATCAGGACACATTACACAACACATCGTGACATTTGCCTCGGTGTAGTGGCTATGGTGGGTGGGTAAGTGGGTGTGGGTGTGGGTGTGGGTGCTGCTTGCCGCGATGCGTACCTTAGACCGGGAGGCCCGCGGTCGGCATTCGGAGCGGAGCATCAGGCCAAACAACAGCCAAGAGATCTGGCTTCTCAATCTCGACAGGTCCCTGGCGGTGTCGTGTGCATCGCGTAGGCCACCGGCGGATGACTCGTGGAAAGGTGTTGGAGTTGGTGAGTGTTGGTCCAGACCGAGAGCCTTCCTTCCGTTCGTCGGTCGTCACTGCCATCCATGAACCAGCGACTCAGGACAAGCACCTCAGTGTCGAGACTCAGTGGAGGTCGGGTGGGCAAGATGCCCGTCGGTCTGGTCTGTGCGGTGCTGCCGTCAATGACGCATGTCCCCGGCCCATCTCCCATCCTCAATTTAGCGCGCTCTTTGCCCCGAGACGGGACTGGGACTTGCCTTATCGACTGCCAGTGGTCACTGCTGTATCCGTAATTGAAGGTAATAATACCGACCGCAGCAGGCATTCCCCGCTCCCAACCGAGGGGCAGGCAGGAGCGCGTCTAAATCGCAGAAGGAGCTCTCCAGTGAGTGACCCTCCCCGCCCGCCGCCGGCATGGAATCGTGACTTCCATTTCCTGGAGCAAGACCCAAGACCGCACCGCGCGCAAAACAGCAAGAGCTCATGTGAGACCCATGACACCACGCGGCAGGAGGGAAAGCTTGACAAGCTGGGCAGCAGGGGAAAGCCGCTGGCGGCAAGCAGGAGAGAGCGTCACTGGCAACCTAAGGTATGGTAGCTGCGATCGATAGCTGCACCAGCTCCTGCAACTTGCTGCACCGCGCAACCTCCCAGCGCCCCGGACCGATGTCATGCTCACCCACCTCTCGGGCAGTCTACGAATCCCCAGTTCTCCAACGTCTCCAAGGCGCAATTCCTTCTCATTGGCCGTCGCATCCTCTTATCGGCCACCGCATCCACACCTGTCCTGCACGCACGGGGGACCTTGGAACCAGGTAAACAGCGGCCCCAGACACCTTGGAGGTCGCTTGTCGCTAAGGCTGGCACGCTGGGTACCTACCTGGGGGTGCTGAGGTGCCTATCTAGGTATCCGTACTCAGCTAAGGTTGCGCCCACTTCACTGTGAAGTGACATAGTGTATTAAAGTGTACTTTTTGGAAACTCTGCCAGCACGCAGGCTACCCTTGTAACCACCCCCCTTCCCTTCTCCCTTCCCTTCCTCCTTCGCTTCTCTCAGCTTTAATAATTAGGGAGGATTACAGCGATTACTACGATTACCTCATTTTTATATTCTTTAAATTTATCTAGCTTATTAAGCTTATTCTAAACCTCTTCTATCTTCTTATTATATCTAAGCTTCTTATAGAGATTCTTCTACTCCTATTTATAGGTATTAATACTTTTAATATTACTAGATTTAGAGAGGAAGTATATAGTAATTTAGTAGATAAATATTTAGTAGTAATATTTATCCTTAGACTTATCTAAGGACCTAATATTAGAGTTTATATTATTAATATTATTTTAGAGCTCTTATTTATACTTTTTTATAAGAGCGATAAAGTTAACCTTCTATTTTATTTTCTAGTTTATTAATTTAGTAATAAGTATTTTAATAAGTTTAATTATAATAAGTTAATCTTATTAGGGATAGTTAATAAATAGAAGAAGAATAGATTTATATTCTTCCTCTTATATAATCTTATATAGTGAGTTATCTATAAACTATTAAGGTTATTAATAATATTCTTATGAACTTAGATTAAAGCTTTCCTAGTTATTATAAATAGTATCACGATGTATAGTAGGTATCTATCAAAGTATAAACAGAATTTTCATAGTGTGGCGTAAACCTCCACAAATTGGATGTGGCTGGGCTCAAAGGGTAGAAGATAAGGTTGCGCCCACGATCCGTCCGGCTCGGCCTCGAGTCCTATCCTGTCACGCCGTGCCTTGCCTTGTCTTGTCTCGCCTCGCATCTCGCTGTCTCACACCTCTTGTTGTTTGCTCGACCAACTTCTCGCATTCTTGCCTCCTTCCATACCTTCATATCCCCTCCGAAACCCCTCAAACTTCCACCCGTTGGTCGCGCATCGCAGAGGGACAGAAAGAGACACCAATAGAGACCTCGTCATACCGATACCCCGCCAGATCTACCCGTCTTTCGTCCCATCCGCCTTCATCCAAAGTCAATTGACAGCTTCTCTGGGCGCTCCCATCCAACATGTCGCCGACTGAAGAAACCGTCACCGTCGAGTCGCTCCCGGAGCTTCTCAAGAATGACAACAAGGTCAAGCTTGCCGGCATCGACGTCGATGGCATGCTGCGCGGCAAGCTCGTATCCAAGTCAAAGTTCTTGTCCATCGCCAAGTCCGGCTTTGGCTTCTGCTCCGTCATTTTCGGGTGGGACATGCACGACATGACATACATCAGGGAGCTCAAGATCAGCAACGCCGAGAACGGTTACCACGACTTGATCGCCATCCCCGATCTCCAGAGCTTCAGGCGCATCCCCTGGGAGGACAACGTCCCCTTCTTCCTTGTCGACTTCCACGACCCCGACACCCAGGAGCCCATCTGCGCCTGCCCTCGTGGCCTGCTCAAGACTGCTCTGGGCAAGCTGGAGGCCAAGGGTTACAGCGCCATGGCTGGAGGTGAGCTTTCTTCGTCCGGTCGCAGTTCCCCAGCATCGCAATCATTGCTAACCAATGCTTACGTTTAGCCGAGTACGAATTCTACCAGTTCAAGACTCCTTCTCGCTCCTCCGAGACCTCGACCTCAACGGCCGGATACCTGCAGGAGAACCCTCCCCACGCTCTCCCATCTCTTACCGAGGGCATGTTTGGATACAGTTTGACTAGAACAGTCCATAACAAGGACTACTTTTACGACGTCTTCGAGACCTGTGCCCAGTTCAAGTGTGATATCGAAGGATGGCACACGGAGAGTGGCCCTGGTGTTTTCGAGGCCGCAC